TTTTAGGTAGGCACCATACTCTGCCAACCAACCTGTGTGGAGTGACTGCCCATAGACCTGACATCCACTTCCATCCTCAAGGTAGGCCTGCTCAGCCACCATTGCCATTGCTCCTGGGGAACGTGGGCAGACAAAACACAGATGGCCACCTGCCTCTATAAAGAGGAACCCCCACTACCCCCACTTGATATTTCAGCAGTGGCCTAGAGACCAGCCCACCCGTCCAACATGAATATCCCGAGCACATGCTTGGACTGTGACAACCACAGGGGTATGGGGAGATGCAGAGGAGCATCACTGTTACAGACTCACAGTGTATCTGCCCCCTCCTGCCTGGTCAATCTTCCAGAGCAAAACTCAAGCATGCCTTTAAGTGACCTCTCCCTGGGTAAGATAAATGGGATTGATGAGAAAATTGAAAATAACACAAACCAAAAAGATAATTTGGGACATGAATGAAAAATTCACTAAAGAGATAGATAATCAGAAAAAAATATATAACTGAATCCCCAGATATAAAAGATTCCCTTAAGGAATTTCAATATACAGTGGAAAATTTTAAAACAGACTAGAACAAGCAAAAGAAAAATTTCAGATCTTGAAGACAAGACTTTAAAATCAACCCACTCAGTCAAAAATGAAGAAAACAAGTATCAAGAAGTATGAACAATCTCTCCAAGAAATATGGGATTATGTAAAGCAAACAAATGTAAGACTCGTAGGTATTCCTGAGAGAGAAAAAGAAAAAAGCAAAGAACATGTAAAACCTACTTGAGGGAATAATGTAGGAAAACTTCTACGGTATTGATAGAGATTAGACATTCAGATACAAAAAGGTCATCAAACAAGGAAGATTCATGGCAAATAGGGTATTGCCAGGGAACATAGTCATAAGTCTGGCCATAGTCAAACTAACTAAAATCAAGAAACCTAAGACAGATGCCCAAAAAATTAAAAGCAAGAAATTGAAACACACTACCAGAAAAGATCACTTTTAACAAAGGAAGATGGCAGGAAGTAAGAAAGAAAGAGAGGGCCACAAAACAACCAGAATTCAAATAACAACATGGAAGTAATAAGTCTTTACCTGTCCATAACATTGAATGGAAATGGACAAAACTCTCCAATCACAAGATATAGAGTGGCTGAATGTATAAAAAAACAAGAGCCAATTATATGTTGCCTGCAAGAAACACATTTCACCTATAAAGACATACACAGACTGAAAATAAAGTGAAGGAAAAAGATATTGCATGCAAATGGAAATCAAAAAAGAATAGGGGTAGCTTTACTTCTATCAGATAAAATAGATTTCCAGACACAAACTGTAAAAAGAGACAAAGAAGGTCATTATATAATGATAAAGGGATCAATTCAGCAAGAGTCTGTAACAATTCTAATATATATGTACCCAACACTGGAGCATCCAGATACATAGAGCAAATACTGTCCGAGCTAAAGAAAGAGGTAGACTCCAAAACAATAATTGTTGGAGATCTCAACACTCCACTTTCAGCATTGGACAGACCATCCAGACAGAAAATCAGAAACGAAACACTGGACTTAATCTGCACTATAGACCAAATGGACCTAGTATGAATTTACAGAACATTTCATCCAACAGCTGCAGAATTCACCTTGTTCTCTTCAGCTCGTGGATCATTTTCAAGGGCAGACCATATGTTAGACCACAAAACAAGTCTCAAAAAAATTCAAAAAATTTGAAATCATACCAAGCATTTTTTCTGACCACGATGGAATAAAACTAGAAATTGATAACAAGAGGAAAATTGGAAAATATTCAAACACATGAAAATTACACAATATGGTCCTGAGTGACTAATGGGTGAATGAAGAGATGAAGAAGGAAATTTTACAATTTCTCAAAACAAAAGGAAATGAAAACACATTTGGGATACAGCAAAAGCAATAATGAGAGGAAAGTTTACAGCAATAAATGCCTACATTAAAAAAGTAGAAAAGCTTCAAATAAAGAACCTAATGATGCATCTCAAAGAACTAGAAAAACAAGAGCAAACCAAACCCAAAATTAGTAAAGGGAAAGAAATAATAAAGATCAGAGCAGAAATAAATGAAGTTGAAAGAAAAAAAAGACAAAAAAGATCAATGAAACAAAAAGTTGGGTTTTTGTAAAGATAAATAAAATAGACAATCCTTTAGCCAGACTAAGAAAAGAAGAGAGAAGACCCAAATAAATAAAGTAAGAGTTGAAAAAGGAGATATTCATTCATCTTTTTTATGGCTGAGTAGCACTCCATGGTGTACATATACTATTTTACTAATCCGCTCATGAATTGATGGGAGACCATTCTCCTAAGTGAAGTATTGCAAGAATGGAAAAACAAACACCACATGTACTCACTATTAAATTGGAAGAACTAACTGATGAGCATTCAAGTGCACAGAGGAAAGTAAAATTCAGTAGAAGGCAGCCAGCGGGGAGAGGGGAAGAGGGAAGGGGAACAAACCAACATAATGGGTACTATGAACACTATTTGGGTGACAGGCACACCTATAACCAGGACTCAAACATTACACAAGTGACCCATGTAACAAAAATCATTTGTACTCCTGTAATATTTTGAAATAAAAAATTATTTAAATGAAAAACAAAAAGGAGATATTACAATGGATACTGCAGAAATCCAAAGGATCATTAGAGACTACTATGTGCAACTATATTCCAATAAATTGGAAAACATAGAATAAATGGATAAATTCCTAGAAAAAAAACCAGAAAGAAATAAAAAACTTGAATAAACCAATAAAAATAACAATATAGATGCAGTAATAAAAAGTCTCCCATTAAAGATATACAAGGTATACTCAATAAAGATTTTGTCCAAGACTATTTTGACTTTTTTACTCTTAACCTTGATTTTATAAAAAGAAGTTTAATATTTTATTTTCCATCAGAAATCACCACCAATCTCTTCCACACTTTCCTCATGGCATCTTTTACCTCCTTATTCCTGCAAGTATAAATCAGAGGATTTAGCAAGGGAGTCAGGATGGCATAAATTATTGCCACAATTTTATCAGAGGAAAAAGCAGATGGAGGTCGTGCGTATACAAACATGCACGGGACAAAGAACAAAACCACAACAGTAATGTGAGATCCGCAGGTAGAGAGAGCTTTTCTCCGCCCTTCAGAACTATGAGTTCTCAGGGAGAACAAGATGACACCATAGGAGACAAGCAACAAGGAGAAGATAATGATGCAGAAAAATCCACTGTTGACGACCACAAAAAGGCCAAAGATGTGAGTATCGATGCAGGCAAGGTCCAGTAATGGATACAGGTCACACGAGAAGTGATCGATGACATTGGGACCACAGAAGGGCAACTGGAAAGTAAAGAGGATTTGTATCATGGAATGAGAGAAGCCCCCTGTCAAGGCTACTCCCATCAGAATGCCACAGAGCCTCCGGTTCATGATGGAAGAGTAATGCAAAGGCTTGCAAATGGCCACATACCGATCATAGGCCATGGCTGTGAGGACAATCACCTCTGCCCCACTAAAGAAGTGTTCAGCAAAAAGCTGCATCATGCAGCCTTCAAAGGAGATGGTTTTCCTCTCATAGAGGGAGTCCACGATCATCTTCGGGGTGAAGACGGAGGAGAAGCATGCATCTAGGAAGGACAGGAAAGTCAAGAAGAAGTACATTGGGGACTCCAGTAGTGCAGGGCTGCTGAGGATGGTTACTACAATTAACATGTTTATCCCAACTATTGCAATATAGACAAACGAAAATACAACAAATAATATTTTCTGAACGTTTGGATTCTGTGAAAACCCCAGGAGGACAAATTCAGTTACAAAGCTTTGGTTGTGCATAATTTCCAAGGGAAAGGTGAAATCTCCAACAGTGGTGATGTAGAATCTGCAGTCATGATAAAGAAAAATTTGCTTCAGTTCAATTTGTAGTATTACAGTTATCAAAAAGTTTGGAGTATCTACATACAAAATTATCAGAGTGCTGGTGTCATCACTGAGAACACAAAACTTGAAATTGTTGAAGGTGGTAGTGAAAGGTCAGGAAGAATTGAGGTGGATATAAATAACTGAATGCCTCAAGAGAGCCAGAGTTTCAATATGGGGGCAGGCAAGCATCCACATGTGGTAGAGAAGAGAAATAGTTTTCATCTCAAGTGCCAGCGTTGATCATTTACTAATGGCTTCCTGGAGTGAATTATTGAGAAGTATTCTGAAGCCCCCTCCAAGTTATGAGGATAAGAGGACTGTAATTTATTAGTGATGCCTTCCATTGGCATGGAATGGGAGCAGGAGTGACCAGCATGACATCCTAACCTGGAGACTGCCTCACCTAGAAACAGAAGAAGAAATAGCATGGAGTTTAAAAGCCTCTTGAAAATCATGGCTACTCCTGAAATATTTCTTTGAAACTTTGAACTGTATTAGGCCTTTAAATGAATTAGCTCATTCTTCATAAAAGAGAATGATCTGTGGAAAACGCCTAGCTGTAAACTTAATACATACCAAGTATGCACTCAGTGTTGAGTTTATTTTTAATCTGTCATTTTAAAATGAGAACAGATGTTTATAAAAATAATAATACCTGTATCAGAGTGTTGTCACAGTGACTAAGTGAATAAGGTGGGACTGAGGACCCACTGCCTAGAACACAGTCTGTGATAGTCCTATTGTCCCTGTTTGATTGGTGGGAAGCTCATGCTTAAAGAGGTAAAGTTCAAGCAAACAACAGATTCTTGATCTGGGCTTTGACCACAGAACCTCTGGCTCCAGCACCCACTGCATTAACAGGTAGAGGAGTGGGATTTTCTTTTTTTCAACAAGAACTTCAGAGCAGGGATGACCTTTCTACAAACATTTACAGATACAAATTGGTAGCCACCACATAGGCAAGGAAGAGAAACAACAAGTTACATATAGGACAGAGTCTTGAGGCTTTATTAATTATTTGTCAATTATTGACACAATGTGGTCAGGTCTGATCAAGTATAACTACTAAGGATATACATGTTTCAAATTTATTTGACATTATCATAAAGCAGAGAGGTGTGTATATATTAATAGCTCACCTGCTCATATCCCAGGATTATAATGAGGGTCAAATTTGAATATGTGAAAATGTTGCTTATGATAAAGTGCCCTTATCAGTTGTAGTTACCATTATCTCACTTACAAAGCCATCCCCCTCGTGCACAGAAAGCTTGGAATGAGTCAGCCAGATAATTATCCAAACTTTGATTTCATTTTCCACAGGTAGATGCAGCTTCACAGCATGATTGGATCCTCACCTGTACGTGTAACAGAAATGTATCAGTCAAATATCACATATGTATGTCTGCAGGTGTTAATATTGGTATATGTGAACATGCATATGTTTGTCAAAAAATAGGTGAACAAAAGAAAAATGGGATTTATTGTGAGGCTTACAAATAAGCTGATTTTAATGAATGCCATTTAGAGTTAACAGAAACAATCAAATGTTAATAAAACTAACGTATACACACTCCAGAGTTTTACCAAACATTCAAAGATGAACTCACACCTATACTACAGAAATTATTCCACAATATTGAGAAAGATGGCATCCTTCATAACTCATTCTACGAAGCCAATATTACCTTGATACCAAAGCCAGGAAAGGAGACAACAAAAAAAGAAAACTACAGACCAATATCCCTCATGAACATAAATGCAAAAATCCTCGACAAAATTTTAGCAAATAGAATTCAGCAGCACATCAAAAAAATAATTCACCATGACCAGGTGGGCTTTATTCCAGGGATGCAAGGCTGGTTTAACATACGCAAATCTATAAATGCAATTCGCCACATAAATAAAAGCAAGAACAAAGACCATATGATTCTTTTG